CTTTTTCTCATTGGTGCAGTTTTATATTTTATAAACATCTTCCTGATGAGGGAGAAAAAACAATGGTGCAACTTCTCTAGCCTTTTTCTCATTGGTTCAGTTTTATATTTTATAAACATCTTCCTAATAAGCCCTCAAGATGGCCGGTGTCCTTTGATAAAATCTTCTAAGGTTATCCCTTTGATATCTCAATAAAACAGTTGCCATAAACTTCTGAACTGACACCTATGCTTTCAATTTAACTGGCCCATTAGCTGTATTCAGAAGCTACTGCTTTGATTCAGCCTTCGTCTCTGAATTGTATTCGCAAATCCAAAGTTCAAACCTAGTTACGGTTTAGTCTATAAAATCATCTTCATTCGCTCCAATCCAAAGACAGATGGTAAGACCATCTCTTTGATCTAACGGATCTCCATGCAATGTTTTTGGAACCCATTGGCATGAGTTGGGTCAAAACTGGTACACAGTAAGTCACCAATGGGAAGATCGGTGAATTGGAGTGAGTTCTCAAGAAACACTCACTGGGATGGCTGGGAGACTTGCAGAGGCATAAGGGCCATTGAGTTCCTGCACACCACTGGGAGTCACAAGAAGAAGATGATGATGCACAGAGACCAGCGGGGTAAAACACTTTTGCTATGCCATATACTACTTACATCAATCAAGGTAGAAGCATTTATTAATTTGAAGGTACAGGTAATTTAGGTAGGTGGAAATTATTCAATTTCGTTACAATACCACCCACCCCCACACACATCTCGCTGACAAAATCTGTCCTAGTTAGCAAGAGAGAGATTTACAGGATCTGGCTGAGATATCGTCACTCATCTGTCAGTTTGTGGTACTGTGGTGGCCTGCATATGGCTATAAGTGTAGAAGCTATACCACCAGTATTTTACTATCAGCAGAGTAACCCTTGATGGGAAGGTTCTAGAACATTTTCAGAGTAAGATTGACTAGGATGAAAAGCCTGGAGAGCTACCTCTGGAAAAGAATAGCTATTGAAAATCTTATGGAACACAAAAAACGTTGTCCAATATCATTCTGTAACATGAGGACCCTTAGACGAGAAGGCACTCGGAATACACAATGGCTTCAACACTGGGCTTGAGTGTGCCACCAGTGTGAAGATGGTACAAGGCTTTCCAACATTTTGTTCTCGTTGTACATGGTTTCCCAGGGTTCTGGGCTGACTCCACATTAACAGCTAAGTTAGTAAAGCAGGAAAAGAAGAAGGGATTTAAAGTTGCGAGGATATATGACAACTACGCACATATTCACTGTTATACTCTAAAACAATCTTATGTAGCATCAAGAGAACCAAAAAGCTCACTGTCTTCGCGTTGATGTCAAGTGGAGTTTTGGAGACTGTAACTACTTATGGGAGTAGAAAGCTCCATCTTTCTCCCAAGGTGCTGCTGCTGATTTCAAACTGCTGACCTTCTGGTTAACAGCCCAATGTGTAACCACTACACCATGACCATACATCATTTGGGAAATACTGACATGGAACATTAAGATGGCTTTACTTATAATAATTTCACTGTGATATAACTGACAAACCATACATATCAATAGTCCAATCATATTAAGAAAGGTTGTACAATCATCTTTGAAACATCTTCTTCCTTGGACCGATTGCTATTGACTCCCTATTCCCCCCAGATCGTCCCATCCATGCTGGAAGGTTAATTGTTCATCCAATCTCTGTCTTCATAGATCTCTGGGTGGCAGGTTTCTCATCCTTAAAAAGTGAAGAGGGCTTCTTTCTTTATACGCAAGCTTTTAGGTAATTTTACTTTATTTATTTTTTTAGAGGAGAGTGTAAACGCAGTCCCCCACTACCACAAATTACGCAATCTCATTTCCCACATTTCTGGAAATCTCAAGGGTCAGCACATTCAGAGTGCCATGGACAAGCCTCATCCTGGAAAAACTATCTTCATGATTATAGTATCTCCTCCACCAGGGCCAGTGATGGGAATTAGACAATATGCTTTTGAACATAGTTTCATCAGCCAAAATTTTATCTGTTCACTATCTCTAACTGTATACACTTCATCCTTTTCAAGATAAAATCTAGAATATGTTCACGTGATACTCATATATCCAGCCTTCGAAGATTTGACTGCTATTTGATTCTAGCCTCATATGCCAATATTAGGCATTGCTTGGATTATTCCTGATCCTCCACTGGTTTTATTTCTGGGACTCCTTTGCAAAGCCTAGCTCTATAGCACTCTGTTCTCATGTCTTCATTTAAGTGGCTATTACCATAGATTCCTAAATAAAATGCACCCAAATAAATAATGTGCCTAGGAAACTGATGAGGGTGGGAATAATGTGTGGGAGGGAGGTTTCCTGAGGGGATTGCATGATTTGGAGAAAAACAAGTAAAGCATGTGATAGTTTACATACACTGATGGTACTCCATCTCCACCACCCAGTGCAGTCCATCTCCGTTAGGAAGCCTTTCATGAACTAACTCCTCACTGGGGGCTAAGTGCCATTTGTTTGTGCCCTTCATAATGCTGTGCATGCTTCTTACCACCTTCCTTTTGGTCTCTGAGTATGTGAGCATTATCTATTTAAATGTCTCCCTCTTGAGTCTGAAGGCAGAAATAGAAATATATTAATATTTCAATCCTCATTACTTAATATTAGAAATAACCTCAATATTTAAAAAGCCTCAATCTTTTGTTGTTCATACCCTTTCTATTTCAATCTGCTCTAAGGAAGCTTTCTAGTTTATTCCTGATATTATTGTTGTATTTATATAAGCCTGAAAGGGTTTGTTCAAGTAGATTAGGTGTTATCCTCTCTGGTGTCAACTGCATTGTTTGGAGAGAGATTTCAGCATCCTTGGCCAAAATGTCTACATTTGTGGATCAAAGCGTTAATAGCAATGTAATACCAAAGTGTCAAACATTTATGGTCTGGAAATGTTTCATTTGAGCCACAAATGAATATTGTCGGAGGCTATTAACTGTGTCGCCTTAATGGAAGAGGCCACTCTCCCTGCCTGGCCTTGCAGGGGTGCTCACCTAGAAGAAATGTTGCTTGATCAAGGAGAAGAAAGGCAAAGAGGGCAAGCTAGTAGAGAACAGAGTGAAGTACACCATTAGCCTACACAGGGTTCAGGGCATGGTTTTTAAGTTAAGTTGAATTTCAACAGTTTGGCATTTCAGATATTGCTTAACTACCTGGAAATTGAATTACACCCAAGTGGTTTTATCCTTAGTGACCCAGAAATTTCTTGGGTTGGATAAGGAAAAAAAGAAAAGGAAAACAAAAATCATAAGCCTGCTTCCTACCCTTCTCTTGCTGAATATGATTTTAGATGGTCACTCCATATGCTGTTTAGATGAATCAAATGCACTCATGGTTCTGAATGTGAAAGGACAATGTAATATAAATGAGTAGAATATATTTCTGTTGGTTAAAATAGAAGATTTATTGGATTTCAATTATGGTGCTAGCGAATTATGATACTGAGGGTCCCATGGATTGTCAAATTGCCACATGAATAAGCAGGTCTGTCTGGGAGGAAGCGCTGCCTCCAGGAATGCTCTGCAGAGGTGATGATGGGGCGAATTGACCTCCAGTAGCAGACAGGTCAGGAGAACCCACTTCCTGGAAAAGGACATCGTGCTTGTTGAAGTAGAGGAGCAGCTACAAGATTGCCTGACACAGTGGCTGCCACCATGGGCTGCGACATAACAGCACTTGTGAAGGGGCAGCATAACTGGACAGAGTGTAGTTCTGTTGTTCCCAGATTCGCTTTCAATCAGAACCTACTTGACAGCACCTAGCATTTGACTACAATACCCCGTACACATAGACCTCAAAGCAAATATCATGCCCAAACCATAAAAATCCTGGTTTAAGGATTCTATGATATTTATTTATTTCCCCTATTCTGGGGTACACAATTGCTGCTAAGTGCCATCAAGACAGTTCTCACTCAAAACAAACCTATGTACAACAGAGTGAAACACCGCCTGGTCCTGCACCATCTTCACAATTGTTTCTATGTTGGAGCCCCTGGTTGTAGTCCTTATGTCAATCCATCGAGTTAAAGGTCTTCCTCCTTTTTGCTGCCCCTCTACTTTACTAAGTATGAAGTCCTTCTACAGCCCTCCGGATGACACGTCCAGAGAACACGAGTCAAAGTCTTAATATTCTTCTTTCTAAGAAACATTCATTTGTCTATCTGTCTATGGTATATTTAATCAGATCTTAAAGATTTAGAACCTGTGAAGAAATCTCAGATGGTATCAAACACAAAATGATCTGTTAGAAGTGAAGTAACTTGCTCTTTATGTTAAAGGAATATTGGAAACACGAAAGTAAGTTAAAAACTATTGTTACAAAATTGTAGAAATATTTAATAAAATATTTTTATTAAACAACCCTATGAAGTTTCTTGGCATGTCCTTGATATTGATCTATACATTTCAGAATGTGGTGTTTCCATCTCTCTCTCCTTGAGGTATTCGGATAATCTTCCCTTACAATGTTCTTTGAGTTTGGGGAACAAAGTGAAGTTAGAAGAGACAAAACCAGGGCTGTAGGGTGGATGGGGTGAGGGTCCCAACACAATTCCAATAGGATCCGTTTTTCTGCCCTTGAAAAACTAAGCAAGTGGATTGTCACGAAAGAAAAATTTCCTCTGGGCAATGTCTTGGCCTTTTCTTACAGATTCAGTTTTCAATTAGAAACAAAAATAAAAACAAAACCGACAAACTGTCACAATCAGTTTTAGAGCACCTTCTCACCTCCATTTTTTCATTATTTGTTCCTAAATTTCCTTCAACCTTCCTGCCTTGTCCCCAGTAAAGTATTCCATCCGTCACTGTCTACATGCTTCCACTCTTCCTGTGCTTTATAAACTAGGAAATATAGCAGAAACATTTTTTTAAAGGGGTGGTAGAGGAAAAAGAAAATACCACTGGCCATATAAAGATAAGCCAGAGAGAATTCAGGGAAGGTAAAGAGGGAGGTCACCTGATCAAGTATCACATTATGACATAGTTCCATCCACTATAATAAAGTGTGCAATATCTCTGACTGATATTAAAGATGTTCATGTCCCTCAACTTTGAGCGGAGGGGATCTGCCAGAGGCTTGATCTGAATAGGTACCTTGCAGGTAGATTTTGCACCCCCGCCGCCTCCCACCCGCCACTGTCCTTCATAGCCTTCTAAAAATTGAGCGTTCACATTTTGAGTTCTGATACCTTTCCCTTCATCATATTTGGATTTTGTTATTTGCCATGTGTGGACACACTAGTGTGCTTCTTCCATGGGGAGTTGATGCCTCATTTAGATGGCTGCTTGTTTGAAAACAAGCCTGTAAGGCCCCAGACACTATTCCAATTGATAGCCAGGAACCATCTGCTTTTTTAAATTTTTACTGTACTTTGCTATAGCACGCGTATCTTCCGTGAAGGAGAAGAATGAGCAGACTCATCACAAAAGAACTTGCATTGGGGCTAGAATTAAGGGGGAGCCCATAATCCATCAGCTTGTTTTGGGGTTATGAATGACTCTGGTTTACTTAAGTGGTCTTGTGTTAGTCTGAGTAGACTAGAGAAACAAATTCATAGATACTCATGAGGAGCTGATACCAAGGGCTCAAGAAGAAAAAAATGTTTAGACAATGATGATGGCAAATGTGCTTGACACAATGGATGTATGTATGACTGTGATGATTTGTATGAGCTCCTACTAAAATGATTTAAATAATAATAATAAAATCATAAAATAAAAAAGAGAGCTTTCTATAAAGAGTAATTGTACATTAAGAAAAAATCCCAGCCCAGTCCAGATCAAGTCCATAAGTCTGATATTAGTCCATATGTCCAAAACCAATCTATAAGGTCTTCTTCAGACTCACAAAACACATGCAATGATGCCAAATGCTGGAAGATTGCAGGCTAGTGGGTGGGAATTCTTGTGGATCCAGTGGCATTGTAAGTATCTCAGCACTGGCAGGGGTCTACAGGTGGCTCCTCCAGGGCACTAGAATAGTTCCATGTGTCTTGTCAGCTGCAGTGTCTCTAACGGAGTGAGCCTGTGCCCCACCTCCAGCGAGCTATATATCTTCTTAGCACCTCCAAACGAGATCGTCAAGCTGCAACCTGATTGACAGACTAAATTCTACCCTTTCTCTCTTAATCCTCTCAAATTGACAACAGATTATATAACGACCACAGATCTTGCTATGATTTTATGGTAAAAAACATTACCAATCATTCCCCCTTGGGTATAAGAAGATTCCATTAATAATCTCAATAAATTATGCAGTAGCATAGAATTAAGATACTGCTGATAAAAACAGCTTATGCAAGTATAGTAAAACTGTGAACTGTAATCCATGAGTTGTTGCTTTGTATGGATTAAATTCTTAAATGATTGGACTCTGTTTACCCTGATCAAGAGGGTTGATGCTAGTGGGGAATCTCCTGTAACATTGCTTACAAGGACAGATCTTTGCCAATAAGATGTCATATGAATGCAAGGAAGACATTAGCATAGTAAATATATGGTAGATCTGGGTTCTCTTCCATTGGATGCCTACTAAGACAAGGATTCTAACCAAGGTCCAAAGACCATCAATTCCGCCATCTTGGTGTGGCTGCCTTTTTTTTTTCTTTTCCTTTCATCAGGGAATTTCAGTCTTAAGTCCAAGGGCTACAGGTTATATTGAGATAGGGCCTCATTCATTTAGTGTGGTTTCTATGCTGAGTTCTTCTGGTGTGGCCTATGGGGTGGGGAGGGGGGATGTTATTTCCCCCATAAGACTAGAGTCTAGGATCACTGTAGTGCATAGTCCATGGCATGGGTCACCAAGAGTTGGGTAGAAACTAATTCAGTGTCTAAACAGAACATAATACCGGGTTTATTCTCTCCTCGGGTCTTCTATAATTTTTGTGGCCTGTCCCTTCCTGATGTGAGGTTACTCCTCCTCACTTAC